ATGGCCTCACATTTTCAGGCTGGGAATTATCAGGAAATGGACTGAGGAAGATTTCAGATCAAATGGGTTAGTACGGGGAATACTAGACACTGCTGTGTGGGCCTCTGGGCTTCTGAGGGTGAGGCTACAGAAGGAGAATACTACTGGGTCTGCTCAAACATTTCATTTGCTCGTCGGCTCCCCTGGAAGGATCATGATAAGGAGATACTACCTCGGGCCAGTTTTCACCACCAGGAGGTTTGTAGGTGCTCTCGCAAAGCATTTCACTGCATAAATCTGTATTTTTAGCCAATGAATCTGCTACTCTCTTCCTGAAATTTTGAATGTTCCGTGTGTTAGTTCTGCCGTTCCCTAGAAGAGGATGAATCTGTTGCAGTATTAGGCTGAAGGGGCTGTAAACGATTGAATATATTCAAGTTGACCCTTAAGCAACGCAGGTTTTGAAAATCTGCGTGTAACTTTTGACCCCGTGAAAACGTAATAGCCTACTGTTGACCAGAAGCCTTACCAATAACATAAAGTCGATTAACACATATTGCGTATGTTGTGTGTATTATATACTGTACTCTTACGATGAAGTAAGCTCTATAGAGAAAAGCAAATGTTATTAAGAAAATCATGAGAGGAAATACATCTGCAGCATTGTCATGTATTAATCCAAAAAAACCTGCACATAAGTGGACCCACATAATTCAAAGCTGTGTTGTTCAAGGGTCAACTGTACTTTGTTATATTTACCCCAGGAGTGATTGCTTTCTAGAGAGAACATGGGCACATATGCTATTAGATTTTCCAAAAATATATTTAAATAAATAATAATGAAAAGTTCAGAGGTACAATGGCCCAAAGGAGTGTAACAGGTGCGGTGAGGTCGTGCCGGCCTGTGTGAGCATCGCACAGCTCTCCTAGAGCAAGCCAGCCTTCCAGGCCTGCAGCTGTTTGCCTCAGGTCCCTGCCCTTAGGAAGCGTGAGAAAACCCACAGATGAAGCCAGAGTCCCTATCAGCCAGAATGACCCTACGGGAACCTTGTAGAAGAGAACAGCTTTTTTAGACCTGACGAACTGCTGAGCAGCATCAGGGTGTTCGGTAGGGGTGGGAGTAGGGGTAGTGAGGGCCTTAGATTAATATTTCGAGGAATGTGTGCTAAAAGTAGATTCCAGAGGCTTAGTCTCTTCTTTCCGATTTCCTCGCATTCTGCAAGTTGTTTTTACATCCTTCATTTTTCTGTGTAACAGCTTCATCATTTGGAAGCTAGGCCAGAACTTCGTAGGATGTCACAGTTGTGTTGTTTCAAAACAGCTGAAGAACAAAATGGAGCAAGCTAAGCAATGAGGCCGCAACTGTTTAGTAATTAAACCCAAGTTATAAAGCGGTCAGAAGTGATAAGAAAGGGAAATGTTATCCAAATTGTCCGGTTTTATGGGAAATACAGACTTGTTCATTTATAGATACATAACTTCATCCTATGGCAGTGACATAACAGAACACTCAGGCTTTGTACAGTAGTGCCTATCATCCTGGTGTAATACTTAACGTTAACATCTCTTAAAAGCAATTTTTGATTCAATTACATATTTTAAAAAACACATCGCATTGTGAAATTTGCTGGCTATATTAAGAATTTCCTGATCCTTTCAAAAATAAAAATTGATGTTTTGGAACAATTCTTCAGTTATCTTTAAGAACTATTTTTCTTACTTTCCACTGTTTTCTGAATTTTTATTGTACCTATCTAAGCTATTTCTAAACAGCCGTGGAAGTTATTGTTCCGGAGTCATGTTTCTAATAGTGTTAAAATAGCATTGTTTCCGAGATTTCGCTCTGCGCATTCCAGAGAGAAACCATACAAAAGCTGTTTTTAAAGCCCGTCTTATTATTTGGGTGCCAAGTTAAGTGACAGGCCTGTACTGCTTCCGACACGTTGAGAACAGCAGTGCAGTCAAATGGAGCATGATTTTTTGTTCAAAGAACATTTGGCTCTACATTTTTCTTCTGTTCCACACCAGAAATATCACCGGCAATAAACGGAATAACAACAACAACAAGTTCGGTTCTCCTTCCAATTAGCATTAAAATTCAAGAAACTGATGAGAAAGCTCTCCATGCTCCCAAGGCCAGGACAATCTCCTGAACGCCAGCTTCTTCAACTCATACTAATAATAAGAACTAGCTTATGCTTAACTATTAACTGATGCTTTCAAGTAACATAAATGATTTCAAAACACGGGGAAAGTACTCGTGTTCCAAGGGATGTGAATAATTCTGTTCCCTTAAGGTTATTTAATCAAAGCTCTGTCTTGCCTTTGGCAGCCCCGCTAAGGTTACTATTAGTTAGTATGCATCAATAAATAAACTTTCAATTATCTTGGTAAGCACCTCCAAAAATAGCATGAGAATTAAAAGGCGACGGTATATCCAGTAATTGTCCCAAGTAAATAATTTTGATAGGATCTTTGCTTAATTTCAGATGAAATAGAAATCTTAGGAAATGTATTAGTTTTGCTAGAGTTAAACTCCACGGACATACCCAGTGAAAATGACCAACCTTTTTAATGTCACCTTTACGTTCCTGTCTTTTACAGTGATTATAACTTACTAAAACCAATTTTTTGCACACTTTTTATAAACGATTAACTTACGAGAAGAAATTTTAAGCCAATAAGGGGGAAGGTTGCCCTTTTTTGTTTGTTTTTTCAATTATTCTAAATCTAGAGCAGTTTCATTTTTTTCAATGGGCTTATATCATGTTTGTCATGTATGTTAACTAATGCCAAGGATGGCTTAGCTCAGCTAACTGAAAGGAAGCCATGCTGTTTAGTGTGTGTGTGTGTGTGTGTGTGTGTGTGTGTGTGTGTTATGTTGTGTTTGTGGTAAATTCCATTTTCTGTGACTCCCAGAACATTTTTGAAGGCCTCCTCTCAAGACATTTATTCATGTTTCTTCTGTAACAATCTAATCAAACTTCCACTCAGAGCATATGTGCATTCTTATTTTCTCAACTCTGTATTTGATAATCTTTTAAAGAAAAAACCCTAATAGAAATTCCCTGGAAATAATTTACAGGACTAATGAATTTGTAGGTCTTTTAGACAGTTCTACATTACAGTCACATTAATATTCTTTCCTTTTTATAAGGCTTGAAGTAAATCCCATGACACCAGAAGAATTTAGATACTGATTACTTGCTATTGGTTCCTGGTGATTTGCTCTTAATAATTTCCAGTTGAATTTAATGAAAGTATGATTCCTGAAATGCTGCTTCATTAAAATTGCATCTTTTCCCCTTTAAGTGTGGTTTAGGTCATTTCACCCATTCTGCGATGTGTTCCCCCCGCCCCGCCCCGCCCCTTCAAAAGGAATGATTGAGAAAGCAGAAACAATTAAGAATATCACTTCAGTTCCTCCTAGAACTCACCCCCAGAGTTTCTCGGACTGAAATGATGCAAGCTGTACTTCATCAGGATTTTACATTTTTTTTTTCCAACTGATGAGATTATTATTTTTTTTTTAAATAGAGTTTTCAAAGAAAAACGTATGAAGATTTGGGAGGAGTAAGGGATAGGAAACTGAAGAAAGAATCTGTTGCATAACCAAGAGAAATAAGGTCTTTTGTATTTTTATTAAAAAAAATAGAGCTTGATTAAGTTATACTGGGCAGCATTCAGACTTAATTTAACTGAGACGGTGATTTGCAAATGAATATCTACATGGATCCTTTTTAAAAATCCAAATGCAAATGAGTACCACTGCAGTAAAATATATTTGCAAATGAATCCTGTTGCTTTATTCATTTATTGTGTAATTACTGCAATCCTTCCCACCTTGTTTTCAGTATTTCTTAATCATTAAGTCGGAAGCATGACAGCAGTGCCAGCCCTGGCATGATTCTCTTTGACTAAAACCTTGTAAATTAACACAATTAGCACAGCATCATCCTGCTAATTAACTTCCAGGGTCTGGTGCAGTGGTTTTGCAAACAAGGAAGAGGGAGTCAGGAGGGAATCAACATGCCATTCTGTTACCAAACTCTGGGCTCTGTTCAGTTTAGCTCAGGAAGTCAAAGCTGGCCGTGTCAGAAGCCAGAGTCAGGGAATGAAGAGCTAAAGGGGTTGGAGGAGGATGGCAGGGGGGTGTAGGAGCTGTCAAAATCGACTGCAGTCATTCAGAAGGGAGCTGATGCTTCATTTAGACCAGGCCTCCTCCTTATCAGGGAATCTCTGCCACAGGGCATAAGGCAGTTTACAAAATTCACGTCAGGTAATCCAAAAGAGCTGAAGGAGGCCCTACTTAATATACTGGAATCCAAAGTGTTCGAACCAGGCAGAGATTAGAATGAGGTGAGCCATGAGCTGGGAGACAAAACAGGGTTCCCGTGCTCGACTGTAACTAAGTATACGCGAGTCCTCCAGGTACGTTCTAAATCCCTTTGGGTACTTTTCCCTAATCTGTGCAATAAGGTAATTTCTCAGGTCTCTTTAAACTGTAAAATTCAAATGATTCTCTGATTCTAACTAGGAAAATACTCTTGTTTTACAGTTTGCTACTTAAGTCACCTTGCTTCGGTTAGTAATCTAGCAGATGATAGCATTGCCCATAGCATCTCATTATCTAGCTGTGCTCCTTGAGTTTATGCCACACACACTGCTTCCCACAGAAATGTAGAGAGATTCTCTCCCTCTTCTCTATTCTTACGCTCCCTTTCACCTGTTTCCTCCCTCCCTGCCTGCCTGCCCTCCTTCCTTCCTTTCTTGACTTCCTCTTCTCCCCCCATATATAGATAGATATACACACACTTATATACACACACATGTAATAGATATACTTATAGATATTATGTATGTGTGTGTGTCTATCTATCTATATATATAATTTATGCATATGTACTCTCCCCTCTTAGTACTTGGAGGCTGTAAAGCAGAGGGAAGGATTATAGGGAAAGGAGGGAGAATGCCAGCTGGAAGACCGACAGACAAGTGATGCTTGTTTTTTTTTTTTTCAGAGACTCAACAACAGAACTGAGAGGCAGAAAGGAGCCAGTTGTAATTCATACCGAGTTGTAGGCTTTGTGCGATGAAAGCGATGGAGCGCTGCCTGGGAGATTGCTTTGCTGCACTCCACGAAGCAGATTTGAAACTGTCGTGGAGCACTTTAGATGAGAGTTGGATTATGGAATGACCTGCTATGTCTGTGTCATATTGTTCTGCGCAGGGAGCATTATACTGTGCTAACTAGGTGTTCAGTACCAAATAAGAGAGGGGTCTTAGATGTGATCTGTCAGCTGTGTCTCATTTCTATATTGGTTAAAATATAAAACAGAAACTCTGATGTGAAGAGACAGGATGGCTAGACGTTGCACATGTTAATACTATCACGTGCCCGGTAGTTAAAAGATATGCATATTTCATTGTAAGGACCTGTTACCGAATTCTGATTTGGCAGAAATGTGTGTGTACATATATATGTGTTCCTGTGTGTGTGCAGCGAGTAACTCGACAGGCTTAACAGAAATCGATGGGCTCATTACTTAAAAATGAACAAAGAATGAGGTCTTCTACAGAGTTTTTGTTTAAATTCGGTTTACTTTTTATACAGGACTGAAGTCCAGTCCGTTTTAAAGTGTACATACCGTACAGGGTCCCAGTGGATATCACAGGCTGTGGGAATTCTTTGCAGCGGCTCTATCGTTAATGGAAGATAATAGGTAACCAAAGACGGCAGGGAAAAGCTTATGCACTTCTGACGAGTATCTCAGTAAATTAACTTTCGTCCCCCCAAATCCGCAGGCTTGAAGATGCAGTGGACGCCGGAGCATGCCCAGTGGCCAGAACAGCACTTTGACATCACCTCAACCACTCGGTCTCCTGCCCACAAAGTGGAAGCCTACAGAGGTCATTTGCAGCGCACCTATCAGTACGCCTGGGCAAACGATGACATTTCTGCTCTGACTGCATCCAACCTACTCAAAAAATATGCAGAGAAGTATTCCGGCATTTTAGAAGGCCCCGTGGACCGACCCGTACTCAGCAACTACTCCGATGCCCCATCGGGCCTCGTGAACGGTCGGAAAAATGAAAGCGAACCCTGGCAGCCTTCCTTGAATTCCGAGGCGGTTTATCCCATGAACTGCGTTCCGGATGTTATCGCTGCCGGCAAAGCTGGAGTCAGTTCAGCCCTCCCTCCAGCAGATGTCTCTGCGAGTATAGGGAGCTCTCCTGGGGTGGCCAGCAACCTGGCAGAACCGAGTTACTCAAGTAGTACCTGCGGGAGCCACACGGTACCTAGTCTCCACGCAGGGCTCCCGTCTCAGGAATATGCCCCGGGATACAACGGATCGTATTTGCATTCTACTTACAGCAGCCAGCCCGCACCGGCACTTCCCTCACCTCATCCTTCTCCCCTGCATAGCTCTGGGCTCCTCCAGCCGCCGCCGCCGCCGCCGCCGCCGCCACCAGCCCTGGTCCCAGGCTACAATGGGACTTCTAACCTCTCCAGTTACAGCTATCCCTCCGCTAGCTACCCTCCTCAGACGGCTGTGGCACCTGGGTACAGCCCTGGCGGTGCACCTCCTCCTCCTTCAGCCTACCTGCCTTCAGGAATCCCTGCTCCTACCCCTCTGCCCCCCACCACTGTCCCTGGCTACACCTACCAGGGTCATGGTTTGACACCCATTGCACCCTCGGCTCTGACAAACAGTTCGGCAAGTTCCCTTAAAAGGAAAGCTTTCTATATGGCAGGGCAGGGAGAGATGGACTCCAGTTATGGAAATTACAGCTATGGCCAACAGAGATCTACACAGAGTCCCATGTATAGAATGCCCGACAACAGCATTTCAAACTCAAATCGGGGGAATGGCTTTGACAGAAATGCTGAAACATCATCCTTAGCATTTAAGCCAACGAAGCAGCTAATGTCCTCTGAACAGCAAAGGAAATTCAGCAGCCAGTCCAGTAGGGCTCTGACCCCTCCTTCCTATAGTACTGCTAAAAATTCACTGGGATCAAGATCCAGTGAATCCTTTGGGAAGTACACGTCGCCGGTAATGAGTGAGCATGGGGACGAGCACAGGCAGCTCCTCTCTCACCCAATGCAAGGCCCTGGACTCCGTGCAGCTACCTCATCCAACCACTCTGTGGACGAGCAACTGAAGAACACTGACACGCACCTCATTGACCTGGTAACCAATGAGATTATCACCCAAGGACCACCGGTGGACTGGAGTGACATTGCTGGTCTCGACCTGGTAAAGGCTGTCATTAAAGAGGAGGTTTTATGGCCAGTGTTGAGGTCAGATGCATTCAGTGGACTGACGGCCTCACCTCGGAGCATCCTTTTATTTGGACCTCGGGGAACAGGCAAAACATTATTGGGCCGATGCATAGCTAGTCAGCTGGGGGCCACGTTTTTCAAAATCGCCGGTTCTGGACTCGTTGCCAAGTGGTTAGGAGAAGCAGAAAAGATTATCCACGCCTCTTTTCTCGTGGCCAGGTGTCGCCAGCCCTCGGTGATTTTTGTCAGTGACATTGACATGCTTCTCTCCTCTCAAGTGAGCGAGGAACACAGTCCAGTCAATCGGATGAGAACGGAATTTCTGATGCAGCTGGACACTGTCCTGACTTCAGCTGAGGACCAAATCGTAGTAATTTGTGCCACCAGTAAACCAGAAGAAATAGATGAATCTCTTCGGAGGTACTTCATGAAACGACTTTTAATCCCACTTCCTGACAGCACAGCGAGGCACCAGATAATAGTACAGCTGCTCTCACAGCACAATTACTGTCTCAATGATAAGGAGTTTGCACTGCTCGTCCAGCGCACAGAAGGCTTTTCTGGACTAGACGTGGCTCATTTGTGTCAGGAGGCAGTGGTGGGCCCCCTCCATGCCATACCAGCCACAGACCTTTCAGCCATCATGCCCAGCCAGTTGAGGCCCGTTACGTATCAAGACTTTGAAAATGCTTTCTGCAAGATTCAGCCTAGCATATCTCAAAAAGAGCTTGATATGTATGTTGAATGGAACAAAATGTTTGGTTGCAGTCAGTGATAACTTCTTAAAAAAAAATGTAATGAATGTTGGCACACACGCATAAAACCTGCTACATAGGGTCTAGAGCCCCTTTCCAGTAGTGTTTAAATCACAAAGGGTACCGGGGAAGATGACGATTGAGTTGCATCTTTACAGTCAGGGTAGATTTGGAGGAAAAAAAAAAACGCATCAAATGAGAGCTTCTGATTTGAGAGCCCCAGAGGACAGAAAGCATCTGTTGATGCTCAGTTCAGTTCAAGCTAGACAACACTCACCAAGGAGCAAGGTGCAAGTGTGTTGATTTCAGAAGGACATGAACCTCGTGTGTTGATTCCATTCTGCTATTCTCGAGATTTAGTTGCTGTCAAGTGCCTGGAGTGGTGCTTTATTTTTTGTTTGCCTCACAATTACATTGGTGGCATGTGCTAATATAAAGAGCTTTAACTTCAAACATTATTGGACTAAAGAGATGAACGGTTGTGTGACGACAGAAAACCAGATTTTTGCCATTTTAAGAGCAACAGTATTCCTCAATCCTGTCTGTTCTGCAGTATTAAGCTAAGAACAGGTAAAACAGGGTAACGGTAATCTGGACCTTAATTTCTGCAGTTCATTTCTTTTAATGTTCTTGTCTGCAAAAACTCAGGAAAGCGATTGTGATTTGTACAGTACCTCAAAGGAATGTGTTGAAAGCACTATGTACTGCTGAGAGTAATGGGATAGGCTTCAATGTTACTTTATATTAAAAATGTATGTTTACCTCAACAATTGGAAAATAGCAAGGAAAATTACTTTGAATGTATCCGGAAAAAATACTGACGTGTGATACAACTGAATATTTACAATTTAAAGTAGAAATGGAAGGATTTTTTAAAAAAAAGATTCTTTTACTAATTATGGGGAATTAACCAGAGCAGAATAATTCTTTATGTCAAAAACTGCAAGAGTTCTTCGTACATTGCTCCTTGATAATGAAGTGAAAATGTTCTTAAAAGGTACACTGGTTAATGGAAAGCTACTTATTCAGTTCATGTTAGTGTCTAGAACACTCGGCCACAAGACCTGCTTAGGACCCTGAAAGTCACAGTACCTAAAACCTAGGACTGCCTTTTACTGCATAGTTGGTGGTGGTGGTGGTGGTGGTTTGCGAGTTCTCTCAAAACTGCTGGGAATGGTGTCCTTCTATTCACTAATCTAGCTTATAGGCTTGCCGTGCTGTTTGATAGAATGCAGAAGATAGCAAGCAAAAACAAACAAACAAATAGAAAACCAACCAACCAACTTCTCTATATCCACAAAGAACATCTACATCCCCTCTCCTTTTTGACTCCTCTCTTCTCAGTGCAATTTTGCTTCTCATTTTGAAATCTTCTGGGCTATAGTGCTCCCACATTCATTTCTACCTCAGTTTTGTTACATTTCTCTTGGAGAGTAAAATAGAAAATTGGAAGTGGACACACACACACACACACACACACACGAGCACGCACACACACAACTCTATCTTGTCAAACACGTTACTTTGTTTTCTGCCTTTTCCCATAAATCTAGTTTCCAAAAACATCGGTCTTCATGCTTGCTTCCGCCTGAGTCCACCCCCACCCCAGAATATGTGGCATTTTTCTTACTTACCCATTCTTCTTCTGCTCCCCTCCAAGTTGTTCTTTGTATCCTTTAATGCTTTATGTGCAACTTTTCATTGATAGCTAACCGATGTTCGGCAATGTCCCTGAACAGACAGTATAGGCCGTAGCTTTCCAAAGCCACTGCCCGTGCATAAGCAGAACAGCCTGGCTTTTTGAATGTATTTTTCCTGCTTTTTTTTTTTTTTCCTTCCTTTTTTTTTTAGTTGAGAGATGCAGTAACAAAACTGTTGCAAAGCACTGGCATTTTATGTATTCAAAAAGTGATGTACATTTTTTAAAAATTTAAATAAATGCAATGAGAAGCCCCAAGAAAGCTCTTTCTGTTATTGTTTTTTTTCTTCAAAAATTTTGACTGATTTCATTCACAATGTCAAATTCTCTGAAACACTTAACATAGAGAAAGCTAATGAAGGACTTCATCGTATTTCTGAAATTTTCTGATGCTTGATCATTACTCCCCTTTTTTCGTATTTTTCGTGTTGCAAAAAACTGAGCAAATGAACCAAAATTTAATTTACTGTGATAGTCTTATCAATTAAAACTGTGCTTATATATAAATATTCCATATTAAAAAGCAGTGCCTTTCATTAAGGATACAAAAAATAATATTTAAATATGTCCTCTGCTTTTCATGAGTGAATAAATCCTATAATCGTGTTCTGGCTCTACCCTGCACATCTCTTAGTGTAAGGAAATTCTAATATCCCCATTAACTTGTAGGTTCATATTGATCTCGCTGACAAGTTTACTTTTGCACAGTGCTGACCTATTTTCTGTCTCTTAGACATTACATTTCATTTCTGCCAACATGCTGTGTTCACTTGAAAGCAACTGGCAAGTTTTGACAAACCCAGTCTTATTTAGACAACTTTGGAAAATCCAATATTGACCCACATTTTTGTGGCTAGTAAGAGTTAATGCCAAATATGACTGCACTATTGTGTTTTACACTCGTTTATAAAACTGAAAATAAGTTGAAGTCATACATATTGGCTTGTAGTTTTAAGTGACTTAAAAATTACTTTGAGAGATGAGTGGTCAGAGATCCATGTATTTAGGCAGAAGCTGAAGCCTTGTGTGAATTTCATTTAGCCTCATGAATTCTTGGATTTGATCTCTTAGGAAATTGGGCATGCTGAAGAAATGAAGATCTGTTGGGGGAGATAAGGCTGACCTCTGAGTAGATAGTGCTCTCCTGTGATTCTTTGATTCTGCATGGCAGCATTATGAGCTCTTCTATGGACTAGCCTAATAATGAGCTCTTTTCTGACCATCCCTTCTGGAGCTTGGGGTGGGGGTGGGGTGCCACATCCTGAGAAGTGAATGCGTACAATCAGTGATAGTACAACTGAGTAAGTGGGCTTCGTACTCTTGGCCTCTTTTTGACTGCTAAGAATTTGGAGAAGGCTACTAATGAAAGGTAAGGTAATGAGCCAGCCCAAATCCCTTGCCGTCTGGCCAGGGGATTTGAGCCAGTCCACTTAAGAGTCCCTAATTCTCTTCTTCATAACTGCAATAACATTTCCAATGGGAACAAAAAGGAAGTGAAGGAAACCACTTCAGTAGAAGGATCGATAGAAACTCAAGAGGTAGTTCATGATGACCTTATGTGAGACACAAATGGAAATACCCTACTCTCCTGGCATGCCTCTCACCAAAATATTTAGAACATTAGTGACAATATGGAAAACTTTGCTGACTGAGCTGATCAATGGAATGTGAAGGCAGTATACTTTAAGGCTATTTACTTTCACACAGAATGTTTATCTATTAGTCAGTTTGTATTCTACTCAAATGCAGATAGACGGGTATAATGTTTTCTTGTGCATTTGAAACCTATCAAGGAGAAAATAAACCATTCCACTAAAATACATAGGCCAAA